TTATCAATGTTATCAATGACTACTTCAGCATTCGTCCACCTTGGGAAACACAAATCGCTATGAATCTCACTCAAAATTGAAATTATAGTTGATGGTCTTGATTGATGATAACAGTCAATGGAGTTAAAAGACGGCCGAGAGAATAGCAGAGCGATAGTGCATCAAGGAACACATGAGCAAATGGTAAGCGTGATTCCGAGCGTGAATCTGCTCGCCGGGTTCCCAACATTATTCTTATCTCAGCTTTTGTGGCTATTCTGAAATAGTTCTAGCTCTTCGGACTTTTACGTAGAGATCTGCAGTAAGGCTCAGATATTGGTTCAGTCTATCTAACGCAGTTGTAATAGGTTTCTGGATGTTACTATCGAAATAAACGTATTTATGTCTAAATCAAATGCATCCTATGATATTTGCACATCGCAAAAACCTACTGGAAAGCTTTTGTCCAGATTTTTTGCTTTGATCAATTACTTTAAGCTTTTCCTAGTATGCAAGCCACGAAGAGGATTGCTCCTCTATTATCTCCAGTTTGCTTTATAGTGTCAAGCTCACATAGACAATCCACATGCTCTTGTTCAACTTTGTGACGATGAATAGATGTCTGCCACATATCCGGTGCGGAATGACATAATGCGCTGTATCTCTTGTACCAGTGATTGTAGTCGTACTACAGTCTTATTGAAAGTAGAGGCATTTATCGCTTGAGGCTACACCCACGTAGCTCAACGCGGGTCGTACACTGCGAGCACCGGTCACACTCAGACCGCATCATTCTTATTCATAAAATTCCATGACCGGTTACTCGTAAACACTCAGTATTACATGACAACATTTTCCTTCTAAGCGAAAACTGTCATACAGTTTTATCAGCACATGAGTCAATAAAATCGGAAATAAACAACATATCATATTCATTTGTATTGCGATTTGGGATAGCTCTGAAAACTAGATGCTTATTCGCCTCTATTATTTACTGAAACAATCAGCCGACGCCACTAAGCAGTGCCACAATTTCAGTTCACCACATGTTTGAGGTGAAACGAGCCTCTTAAAGTCACATATTGATAAGAAGCTTCAACTGCTCCCCAGTACTCACATGTTTTCAAGGGAACTCCTCATAATCTTTAAAACATATTCAAAATCATTTGGCAACATGCTATTCCTCATTGACGTATGCTCTACTTATCGTCGTTACTATTATGATGGAATGTGAAGTTTCAGTGAATTCTCAGCAGGACATGTGGCAACTTGAAAGTAGATTCAGCAGTCTCATCAGCTAAGGGGTCAGTACAACTTCAGTTCAGTTTCTTTGCACCATGAAATTTTGCAAATTTTCCGGGAATAGTCCGACTTTGAACGATTTCCCTTGCGAGAAAGAGTTCTCGAAGCGATAGCTCGATGGTCTGTGACGGTTAGCCTAATGGACAGTATGCAGCTGATCTTATAAAGATGCAATGCAACTGTTATTAGAATGGTTCACTTAGCGATTCTATCATATATTCATTGCTCTACCTTGGCTCATAAGGTGTAGTATACTTTGGCGTCCTATAATATGCTGGTCTTGGACTTCTACACGTGCGTGGGCTGCTTCTGTCGAGCTGTCGAAATAAATGAAAGAAGCACGAGAGCAAGAAATATCTTACTGTAAATTCAACGCTGTTAGTGTGCATCAAGCGAGTGAAAAACGATGAGCAGTTCTGGCGCTCAATAGAAGCGAATGGTGGATGAATTACTTGATGTTTTCGCTAGATGATTTGGTGGTCTTTAAAATTTCCTTATTTTTACTGTTTGCTTGCAGCTTTTACATAATTAGTATTTGAAACAATGAATTCTATGCAAAACATATGATCCCAGGCAGGAGTTAAACCTGCGTTCGACCTCAGAACAAAATTTCAAATCAATGTGGAGCTAGAAAAGTCTGATCCCAGCAGCGGGGAACTTCCTCTGAAGAAAAAGGTGAACTTCCGTTTGTAAAAATCGATTTGTACTTTCGAAAAGAACAACTGAGGATTATTGGCGAAAAATTGATAGAAAATTTGAGAAGCTGCTGATTGATCTCTTTATAGGCTCAGTCTTCTCACTTATATCCACGTCATTTTATTCACATGGTGGAGTATTCATATTTCAAATGTAAGGTGGAAGATAATTTATTAGGCGTCCTTTTTTCGATAGGTCGTTACGCTTGCGATTTCACTGAATATAGCGGAGGTGATCGAGTACACCTCCGACTGTACATTAACTTGAAGTTACCTTTTAATGTGTCAAGTTAATACTACTAGCTCTCAGACAACTCTAGTACCGATTTGCTCAACCACAAGAGATGAACTTGGTTTACCTAGGACGAGAGATGGAATCAACAACCACGCTTGTCTTGCAGTGCATCTCCAACCACTGCGCTGCAGGCATCCTTGATAATTCAACTGTCGTTACGACTTCACCTTGACTTACTAAAATCAACAAGTCTGCAGGCCCTTTAGTACAAAATCGCTGAATAAGTGGTGATGAAAACTTAAGAAGTCGCAGTTACACAAGGAATTGTTGCTCATTTTGCGGATCGCTGATAATTTAGTAATGAAATTTACTGAGTGATTTGAAAGATAAAGTCGTAGTATGTACTACTCTTTTCTTCACAAGCAATTTCTAGACATCTGCTAACAGTAAAGTAGGAAAGCTGATTGTCGGTGACAGTCGGACATACGCTAGTTCTTGACCATGGTATGCACTCATCAAGTATACAAGTCACGATGACGGTATGTATATAACATTCTAATTGTACCTAAATCTACATGAAGTACTTGCCAGGAAAGATTGAATGGATATCTGCAAAACTGGCATCGACTTTCAAAAAGCGATGGTAAGAGTTCTAAGGTTTCAACAGAACTTCTACTCTTTTTTGTCAAAAGTCTATAGTAACACGACGAACTGATATCAAACTCAAACACTAGTTATTTAACTCCTTAAGGACCATAATAGCCATTTTCATACTTACCACGCGACGTCAAATCTCACTTAGCTACTGTTATGGCGGCGCGTCTTGTGGGAAAGCAGGCAGACAGCCAGCCATGCATGCACAGACATGCAGATCAGCTTGTCTGACTACCGCGCAAGTGGCGGCATACGTCTCCTGCTTATCAACGCTGCTCCTCAAAGAATAAGTGACTGCGTGTTTCTGGATAAGATTTCAACTTAACTGAATCTTTGCTCATTGGATTCCACTGAGGCTTCAGGAAACCGTACCACTAGATTCCTAAGCGTCACCCCGTCTATGTACATAGAAGAGATCAATACTTAATTATGTCAACCACTGCTCTCATTTCCTAGGAAAGCAAAGCGCTCACAAGTTGAATCAGAATATAGTCGGAAACGCTAGATCTTCATCCTGTCTGATATTATTTATGGCGCCAGTAAACTTACTGATAAGACACTCAATCGTTGGTTCAACACGCATCCTATCTTCATACAGCGTTCCGTTCCTCCGTGATCACCAAATTTCTAACAAATTTACCTGGGGAATTATCGCCACTGATTTTATGGGCGGCCATAAGTCATAGTGTGGTCCAGATATGAATTCTATTACCTCTGGCGGCTATTCATGAACTCGAATGCATGCAATGTCATTCAGGGATTGATCATCGTTAAGTGCTTTGACCTTCCATCTTTACATGCAGATGATTCGAGCGCCATGAAGTGAATCAGCATGGTTCTTCTTCGCTTGTTACTAGAACTCTTCGAGATGTCTTACTCACGTGAAAGACACGAATGAAATTACGCATCTGCTGCCAGGTCATCTGATCTTTCTGCTTTTGATCCATAGGTTAACGCAGAAAAATGCTCATGCTCCGTGGCTGTGGTTCACTTCTAAATAAATTGAATTGATAACTGTCAGTAGCATCTATAAATGAAATGTGGCGCTTGCTATTTATATGTCGCACTTAAACCTGGTTTTTCAAGCAAATAATGTCCTTCAATTTGTTCTGAAATGAATGAGTATCATTATGCTTTCCGTAGCGAAGCGATACGTTTGCCTGGCACCTTGATCTCCAACATTTACGTGCTGACTGCTGCTCAGTGCGCTATGTGAGTTTTTTCTTATAAGAATCTAATTACATATAATTTGAGTATAGTAAGTATCACAACGATTGGAAATTGATGTACCACTTCGTAATCTTTTCTTACAGCAAAATCTCAGTCATGAGATTCTCACTGATCAAAGGAGACTAATTCCTTAGGGGGATGGTTGGAAGTCTGGAGAAGCGAGGAGCACTCATTGATGCAGGCTATCAGGAAGCAAAAGTTCTACCAACTCCCAATGCTCTCGTGGAATCTACGTAGGGACGTCAGCTCCACTCTCTTCAAGATTGCACGGTGCATCGATTGGACCAGCATTTTGGGGTATTCACAAATAAGGCGAAATAATCAAGAATCACTATGAACGAGACGCAAACTGTTCGAAGACCTTCGTAGGCGATGGACGCTGGAAATGAATCTAGTAGAAAGTGCTGGAACTACCCCTCCCCCTCCCCCTCCCTCTCCACCTCCCCTTTTCACAGTAGATGTGACGAGGGGTCATGTAAACTAAAAATAAAAAATGGTCGTTTGTGTGCAATATTTTTGGGTTATATACATATTCTTGACCTTCACGCGATATGGACGATGCGACAGTAGTTCTGAGTGTTGTGGAAACCCAAAGAATGGATTCAATGTGGAGAGGCGTTGCCCTCAATATCCACTTATAATCATAGTTCTTCGATGTTTTCAAATAAAGAACACTATCTGTGCACAATGATATCGGCGATTTTGTAGAATTGGTTAGGTGAGTTTAAAGTAGCAGTGATATTTGTTCTCTTGAGCTTACACGAGCGGAGCGCTTTATTTGGTTAGAAGATCAAAAGGATAAGAAGTATTTTCTAAATGAATCAGAAATGATTTTCTTTGACCGCCATTGCGGTGGTATGATATTACAATATACCCAATAACGTGGAGTGCTCTGCAAAAACATTTGCATCAGCCGATATTCGAACTCAGATCTCACTCTTTCCTGGGGGCGTATGCTAACCGTTGCACCACCGACGCTCGTTTTGCACAGTACTCTTATTTACGCTATAACACATTGTCTGCCCACAGCCAGCAGTCCAAGTGGGATCAATGCCGATAGCGGCTTCCCCGCCAGACCGTCGGCGGTTGAACGTTTATGCGCAGCACTCCACATATTGGATATATGGCAATTCTATAAAAAAGATTGCGCATTATCAAGGCATCGTTGAAGTTCCTCAAGCTAAGATTAGATCCAGAAGGACACCTGAAGAACGTCACATTAAAGGCGCGATATTATTGAACTTGCTTAGGCAAGATGACGACGCATATTTTACACCGTCCATGACACCAGGCATGAAACGTTTTCAGGGCATGTGATAGCAGAAGAGTTGGCAGCTTTGACGGCACTAATCAACGCGGGTCTGGCTATAAACATCGTTTATGCGAAACTAATATCTTGGACCATGCGTTTAAGGTTAAAGCGATGTGAATCGATATCGGGTTCGAACACTTTTATCTCGTACGCTCTTATTGAGCGCATGTGACGCAGTGGTTAGAGGTGCTCCATGTGAAACACAAGGTCGATGGTTTAATCTCGCACTCATGGCTCACCAAGCCATCCATCCCTTCGTAGTCAGTAATTGGATACCAGACTTGTCTGAGAAGATACGCAGCGCTGACTAGTGGACTTGATACAGCGGTAAGACACCGCGAATCATTGTAAAGACCGGATATGCATTCAACCATCTGGAGCAATTGAAGACGAATGCACGACACATCTCTCAGGGGCCAATCTTATAACTTTTATTCTTTATTCTTTTAAAACGTTCCAATGTCATACCATGTCGAAGTCAAAGAGGAAGCATTCTGAATGAATTTATCGCAATTCTATGAAAAAGATCGCGCATTCTTCAAGGCATCGTTGAAGTTTCCCAAGCTATGATTGGATCCAGACGGACACCTGAAGAATGTCACATTAGGACCCACAATTAGAATGGAATGAGTATGAGTACAGTCTGAGTTTGTCATAACGGTCGAGACCATTTATGGCCTCACAGTTCCAAATGATTTTGCGAATTGAATAACTTCCACCAGCACCTATCAACACACTGATGACATGTGAGAAGTGGTGCAGTGAAACGGTCTTTCTGCAAAATAGGCACGGCGTAGAACTCAAAGATCTCAAGGTAAAGAAAGGCGAGTGTTCCAAGAAGAAATAGATAACATAATGTTGATTAATTCTGGAGTCATTGAACACTTTATTCGGTATAGCAGTAACTTAATTAGTTCCTCTGTTCGATATGATTGTTTCATCGAAGACAGCATTGGGATATATAGCGGTTCAAGGTTTGAGATGAAAACACTGAGGCAACCATAAATAGAGCTGGTCTCTTGAAAATCAAAATAGACTTATACAGTCCGTTTCGAGTGTTTTTTTAAGACAATGCTCAAACTTTTATATATCTTATAACTGTTATTTGAAGCAACATGTCATGAAATCTGTTATGAGTACATGTACAGCTCGATGGACGTGTTTGAGCCTTGATAGCTTCGCCAGTCGGGATGGCCCTTATAGCAAACCTCCCAACGGAGTTTTGCTATCTTTTCGGGAATTACATGATAATTTAGGCAGCGCAAATGGTCCACGACCTTAGAGAGCAAGTGGTATCGCAGAGGTTCGAGGACCTTAGACTGAAATGGTCCAAGTGACGAGGGCGGCACCCAGCTGCCACCAACCTCAAAAGTCAGTTCGATCGCGGGACATCATCCGTACGGTCGTCTGACATCACCCGGACCACCTCACCTCAGTACATTGGCGATCCATTCTTGCTCTCTCTACACAACCTCGTTGTCTTGTAACTAATTACTTTCATAAGGTTGCATCCATACAACTCAGATGAATTCACTAGATTTGTGAGCGGAACATAGCACTTCCGTGGCGGAGCAAACTCACTTTGGCTATGCTCGGCCCATCACCGCGGTTTAGGGATTCTGCCCATATCTAGTCACTAGCGACCCCACTGCTAACACTATATACTCACCCACTGGATCCCGCCGTCGGTGTTCTACTTGGGGCGAACACAGCATTCCCAAATGGGCTCCGCCGCTTAGTCATGCTTCGACAATCACAATAACATCGTCAATTACAATAACATTGTCACTTGTCATAACAATGTCACATGCAATAACATGACCACTTACAATAACATCATCACTTACAATAACACCACTTGCCATAACACTGTCCTCCATACTTTTCATCAGCCGGTCACCCATAATGACTTACGCAAATGTTAGCATAACGATATGTCGTGATCATGTATATATATATATATATATATTATATTATCATTTTAGGAATGTATGTATATTATAGGTTGTTTTGGTATAATCCATATAAAGGATTCAAACTCTTCTCTCTTATCCGTTGCGAGACACAAATTGGCAGCGGATCACAACAGCAAAACCACTGAACCTTCACCACATTTAGTGCATTGGCCGAGAATGTGGAAGTTCTCGCTTGTTCTAATCAGTAAGAGTAGAGAGAGGTTTATGTGGCAACGTTTGGAAGCGTTCACCTTTTTGACTAGGGTGCGAATGTATCTTAGAATCCATGCTATGATTCTTTTAAAATTTGCCAGAAGGAATTTACTCAATGATATGAAAATATCGTCTACATTATCTTTATTTAAGGGGTTCTGCGTAACGCTGAATTGCACATGGTGGTGAGTGCGTAGGTTGGAATCCTTCGATGTTGCGTTGTCACTCTGAATATGAGGTGCTGGAATCTCTATTCAAGACGTTGCATTATATTCAAATGTGTTGGAAACAGTTTTCCAATTTTCTGGAGGTTCGCTAAGGAAGGAGGGACCTTTCCACCAAGAATGCTGATTGAGTTCGGATTGATTAAGGCGGCCGTGTCGCACAGTCTGCCGCGTTGTCATTTGTTGTCACGTGGCCGAAAACAATCCGTGGTGTCATTCTATGTATGTGTTCGACGATTTTTTCTATTTCCGTAAGTCGGTTGAGTATCAGACGTCCTACACTTGTTTGTGGCTTACGTCTTATCCAACTAAGTGCTATTTCCGAATCGGAAAGGATAAAAATTTCGTGAATTCTCAGTGTTTTGTGAAGCTGTGCTAACACTGCGTTTGTTAGTCTAAGTGCTAGAGTAAGTGCACTTAGTTCCATTTTCGGTATAGTCATGGGAGATTTTAGTGAAGGCAACTTGCTTTTTGCCATAAGAAGATTGACAGACTGTTCTGAACGTATATACATACATGTTGTCATTGCTTCAGAGCTAGCATCTGCAAAGGTTACTAGGATATAGTTGTGGGTCTTCATACCTATGTAGCGTGGTAGGGAAATAGAGAATCCTTCTATTGCCGCCCCAATACCAGTCCATTTTAGTGTATCGTCGTCTGATAACACTTGGTCCCATTCGTATCCCTGAGACCATAGGAAGCGCAAGAAGACTTTTAATTTATGAAGGAGGGGCACAAGGAATTCGAACGGATCGAATATAGAGGCGAGTGTGCTGGTGACTATTCTCTTGGTAATTTCTTGGTGAATTTTCATACCGCATGATAGCCGTATTTGATCGAACTGTCAATTCCAGGTCTCTATACTTTTATAGGAAAACTCGTCTTCTCATTCAGCCATGTCGTCTTCGAACATGAAAGACGGCACGATGTGCAAGCTCATAGACCCACGGACATTGAGCATAGGAGATGATCCTTTCGCGAGGCCGGAATATAGCAAACCTCCCAACGGAGTTTTGCTATCTTTTCGGGAATTACATGATAATTTAGGCAGCGCAAATGGTCCACGACCTTAGAGAGCAAGTGGTATCGCAGAGGTTCGAGGACCTTAGACTGAAATGGTCCAAGTGACGAGGGCGGCACCCAGCTGCCACCAACCTCAACAGTCAGTTCGATCGCGGGACATCATCCGTACGGTCGTCTGACGTCACCCGGACCACCTCACCTCAGTACATTGTCGATCCATTATTGCTCTCTCTACACAACCTCGTTGTCTTGTAACTAATTACTTTCATAAGGTTGCATTCATACAACTCAGATGAATTCAATAGATTTGTGAGCGGAACATAGCACTTCCGTGGCGGAGCAAACTCACTTTGGCTATGCTCGGCCCATCACCGCGGTTTAGGGATTCTGCCCATATCTAATCACTAGCGACCCCACTGCTAACACTATATACTCACCCACTGGATCCCGCCGTCGGTGTTCTACTTGGGGGCGAACATAGCAATCCCAAACGGGCTCCGCCGCTTAGTCATGCTTCGACAATTACAATAACGTCGTCAATCATAATAACATCGTCATTACAGTATCATCGTCAATTACAAAACACGTCGTCAATTACAATAACATGTCACTTGTCATAACAATGTCACATGCAATAACATGATCACTTACGATAACATCATCACTTACAATAACACCACTTGCCATAACTACTGTCCTCCATGCTTCTCATCAGTCGGTCACCCATATTGACTTATGCATATGTTCGCAAAACGATATGTCGTGATCATGTATATATTACTATTATATTATCATCTTAGTAATGCATGTATATTATAGGTTGTTTTGGTATAATCCATATAAAGGATTTAAACTCTTCTCTCTTCTCCGTTGCGAGACACAAATTGGCAGCGGATCACAACAGCAAAACCACTGAACCTTCACCACAGCCCTTGATCCCGTATGTGCATGGGTTATCCCCCGAGGGGAAAGTCCTGCCCGTCGAAAGTGCTAGTCGAAAGGCCTGCCCGACTGAAGAATCTGCTAAGATCGAAACACATGTATCGGGATATACGATAGATCACATGATATATTGGCTCAAATGATAATTACCAGGATTTAGAATTGCAGAGCTGCGAACTTCTACTCATACCATTGTTTATTCCGCTTCTAAAAGACTTACACGAGGTGTTTCAAAATTAGCTGTAATCAACATGCCAGAACTTTTTGGTTTTCTTGAAAAACCACGGCGACTTTCGTTGAGAATCTATA